TTTTGCTCGGGGGTGGTTTTTCGTCCTGGACCCAGTGTTGGAAGGCCTGGAGCTCGAGAACGGGCCTCGTGTAGGGGCTCAGGAGACGGGGGGTCCAATGCAAGCGGGGATCAGTCAGAGCGCCCGATAATTGCAGGTTTTCGTCCTAGGTCCATTGTTGGAAGGCCTGGAGCCCGAGAACGCCCCCCCCGATCGGGGCTCAGGAGACGGGGGGTCCAGTGCAAGCGGGGGTCAGTCGGAGCGCCGGATTTTGCAGGGCCCTGCAGAGCCAGGGGTGTATTGACCAGTTAGCGTGCAGGGTCCTGCAAGATCCTCCAGGATCTTGCAGGACCCTGCAGAGCCAGGGGTGCATTGACCCGAGTCAGCGCGCAGGGTCCTGCAGGATCCTCCAGGGTCTCGCAGGATCCTGCGGGGCCAGACTGGCCCGGGCCTGGACTGGTCCGGGCCTGGACTGGTCCGGGCCAGCAGAGCCACGACCAGAGGCTGAGATCCCAGAACAGCGCTGGGAGTTGGAAGCACATGTCGTCGGAGACCTGGGCGGTTTTCTGTCTTCTGCGAGGTCATCCGCGGCCGAGCTCCCGCGGGCGGGCAGGATGTCGGGGTCAACGCTCGGGGGGATGCGGGAGGTTCGCGTCGTGCCGACTGGCGGCGGCCCCGCCGCCGGCGTTCAGTGTTGAACGCCGCCAGCGCCCCAGAGTCGGTCGATGTTGGACGGTCTAATTGTGCTGAAACGGCCGATCGCTCGAAATCGAGCGACCCCCGCGGTGTCAGACACCAACGCCGAGGTCGGCACGACAGGAACTTGCCGTAGGCTCAGGGAGCGACGCATCGACCCCCAATCGCCGTTGATCGCCGTGGGGGTCCCGATGGCCCGCTCCGCCCAGGGCCCAGCGGTTTCGCTACCGTGGGGCCTGCTGTCGCCGGTCCCAGATCGATGTTCCTCTGCCTGAGCTGGTCCCCTCCTCCTCCCTCCTCCCTCCACCTCCTCCTCCCTCCTCCCTCCACCTCCTCCGCTCCTCCCTCACCTCCTCCCTTCTCAACCCTCATTTTCCTCCTGCTCCTCCTCCTCCTCCCTCCTCCTCCTCCTCCTCCTCCTCCTCCCCTCCTCCTCCTCCTCCTCCTCCTCCTCCTCCTCCTCCTCTTTCCTACTCCTCCTCCGCCTCGCCTCTCCTCCCTCATCCTCCTCCTCCCTCCCCTCCTACTCCCTCCACCTCCTCCTCCTCCTCCTCCTCCTCCTCCTCCTCCGCCTCCTCCTCCACCTGCTCCGCCCTCCACCCTCCTCCTCCTCCTCCCCTCCTCCTCCTCCTCCTCCTCCTCCTCCGCCCCTCCTCCTCGTCCTCCCGCCCTCCTCCACCTCCTCCTCCTCGCTCACTCCTCCCTCCTCCTCCATCCTCCTACCTCCTCCTCCTCACTCCTCCTCCTCCTCCTCCTGTCCTCCTCCTCCTCCTCCCTCCTCCTTCCTCCTCCTCCTCCTCCTCCTCCTCGCCTCCTCCTCCTCCCCTCCTCCCTCCTCCTCCCCCTCCTCCCTCCCCCCACCTCCTCCTCCTCCTCCTCCTCCTCCTCCTCCTCCTCCTCCTCCTCCTCCTCCTCCTCCTCCTCCTCGTCCTCCCGCCTCCTCCACCTCCTCCTCCTCCTCCTCCTCCTCCTCCTCCTGGCGTTCGAGCCATAGCTTGGTCCTCAGGCGGTCGCTCAGAACGATTCTGCCCCCCCAGAGCGCGCTCGGCGAGGCGCAGCCGCTCGAAGGAGGCCCCCTTAGGCTGGAGCACCGCCGAGGACCGACGAAAAGACGCCCGTCAAACTGGAGACTGCCACCTCGGACCTGGCCTCCCCCCCAAGAAGAAGGAGGAGGAGGAGTAGGAGGAGGAGGCGGAGGAGGAGGAGGCGGAGGAGGAGGCGGAGGCGGAGGCGGAGGCGGAGGCGGAGGCGGAGGCGCTAGCATAGCGTCCCCCCTCAGGACTCACCTGAGAAGAAAAAAACACCGCCACCGGCTACGGGGGCTGAGGCCGCTCCCCCTTCTGGAGCCGGTGGCACCCCGTCCCGGGCGCGCCCCCAGAGGGTGCCCTGACATGGTGTGCCACCAGCCCCTGGGAGGAGAGAGATGGAGGAGGAGGAGGAGGAGGAGGAGGAGGAGGAGGAGGAGGAGGAGGAGGAGGAGGAGGATGGGATGGAGGAGGAGGAGGATGGGATGGAGGAGGAGGATGGGATGGAGCAGGAGGAGGAGGAGGAGGAGGAGAAGGAGGAGGAGGAGGGGAACGGTGTTCTATGGACGGCCTTCGTGGGCCTGGCTTTCCCCCCCAATGCAATCCCAGACATGCGGCGTCCTGATTTTGGATCATTGCAGGGCCCCTGGACGTCCCGACCCTTTCTCCGGGACCGGCTTCTCCATCCCGAGTCTTTTCTTGAAGGTCCCGAGGCCCGGCGAGGGCCTCCCGAGGCCGCAAAAGCGGCCAGAGGCCGGACGCCCTGAGTTTGTTTACGACGCGATTCTGTCTGGGATGGCGTCCCCCCTCAGGACGGCGCAGGCCTTCGTGGGCCCCGACGGGGCGCTCGCAGCGCCCCGCGGCTCTGGGCCCGCAGCGGCCGCCGCCCTGGCCGTGGACGCGCAGGGCGCGGCCGCCCTCCTCGCCGCGGGCGGCGGGCAGCGCCCCGCCGGGTCGCACCAGGGAGGAGCGGCGGCGCGCCCCGGGGGGGAAGGGTCAGCTCGGTCAGCTCCCCTCCTCCTCCTCCCCCCACCTCCTCCCTCCTCCTCCTCCTCCTCCTCCTCCTCCTCCTCCTCCTCCTCCTCCTCCTCCTCCTCCTCCTCCTCCTCCCCGCCTCCTCCTGCCCTCCGCGGGGGCACGGTGTCGTATCATGGCACCGGCGCTAATTACCTCAAGCGGAAGGCACACTGTGAGGGAATTGGCCCAAGTTGGCGGAGACAAGCATGCGTTTTTTGGCGTGATGGAGGGCTCGACCCCCTCGCATCACGATTGTTTTTTACAGGTGTGGCGCATGTTTGCCTTCCTGGGTCCGCTTAGCCGGCCCGCAGGATCAGGGTCGGCGCAACGGGGCCCGCTGAATCAGGACCTGTGTCGTCTCCAAAGGCGAGGATTTCGATTCCTCGCAGCACCACTGGAGCGGCACACGCCGCCTCAAGGAAGGCGGCCGCGAGTGGGCCAGGCGACTTGCCCTTGTCCCGTTCCGTCGCACTTATTTGTCCAAGTGCTCCCTTCGGGGATGCGACTTCTGATTGTCGCTCATGCACAGTTCCAACAGTTCCTCCCCGCCTCCTCCTCCTCCTTCTCCTCTTCCTCCTCCTCGACCTTCTCCATATCCTCCTCCTCCTTCTCCTCCTCGTCCTCCCGCCTCCTCCCCCTCCTCCTGTTCCTCCTCCTCCTCCTCCTGTCCTCCTCCTCCTCTCCCTCCTCCTCCTCCTCCTCCTCCTCCTCCTCCTCCTCTTCCTCCCACTCCTCCTTCACCTCCTCCTCCTCCTCCTCCTCCTCCTCCTCCCCCTCCTCCTCCTCCTCCTCTTCCTCCTCCTATTCTTCTTTCTCCTCTTAGCCAGGACCCCGGACCCCCTCGAGCAATGACAAAAAACACGACGCGAAGTTTGTCGGTGGATTCGGCCTTCTCCGGGCGGTTGATGGCCGTTCCCTGCCTCGGAAGGCCTTGGGGCCGTCCGTTTCTCATGACGAAAAACCGCTCACGGAAAAAGTGATTGGGACCTCCAGGGGTAGAAGTAGTGAAAAAGTCATGACGTCGGGGGTCTGCGACCCGGGGTGAGCCAGGGTCGGTAAAGAAGAGGGGGGTGATGATTGGGGGGGGATCTCCTGCAGATTTCATGGCGCCTCTTCTTATTCCAATGCGTCCCCGGCCCCCGCGCGCCAGGGACAGGGGTCCAGCGCCGATCCGAGACGTATGCGCGGACCTCTGAGTTTTATGCTTATATCGTTGTTCGTGATAGCCAGGAAATGATCGCGTCGTTAAAGCATCAGGACAGTTTTCGGCCGCGGGGGGCCCTCGCCAGGCCTCGGGACCCTCAACAAAACTATTCAGGACGAAAAACCAATCCAGGGGAAAGGGGTAAGACTTCCAGGGGCCCCGTATTGCAAAAATCAGGACGTCTCATGTCTTGGGCCAGGACCCCGGGAGAGGGGAACCAGTTATTGCTCGGGCCCCGAAGCCCCCCCAATGGGCCGGAATCGTTAAGCCAGTTCTACCGCAGATGGTGTTTCTTCGGCTGGCTACCGTTCTGGTTGCTCGAATAGGGGGGCGTCTTCTGGGCCACACATTATTAAGCTAGGTCGCGCTAGATCTTGTTATGCCAACGCCTGACAGGGTCGGCGCTCACGTAACGGGGTTCAGCGCTGATGGGGATGAGCCACCCTGAAATCCTGGCGCTGCCATGTTTTTTTTGTTTGTTTTGTCTTTGCGCCTTGTTTCGGGCCTGGGGGCCCTCACATATCGATCTGGCTCGGATGATGACGCAGAAAAATGGTGTCTAGAGCTCCGGTCGTGATCGTTCGTGGTGTTGCATTTTGGTTCCACCGTCAGGTCTCAGGGAGGGGGGAGGGTTGGGGCTCACGAACCGGGCTCAGCGCTGACGGGGGTGAGCCAAGGCGCCAGATCCTGCAGGATCCTGCGAGGCTGGTTTTGGGCCGAGCCAGGTTTGGGAACCAGTCGCGGCCCTGGAGGTGGTCGACTGGGCCGGCTTTGATGAGCCCCCACACACAATATGCAGCGCAGCCTGTCCTAAGTTGGTTGAGCAAGGTTTGCGCTGAGCCGGGGTAGCCCACGCCGAAACAATGGGCCCCAGAAGTGCTCGCGCCGTGAGCTGAACGACGGATGGTTCTTCCCACGTTTGGCCTTTGGGGGCCCTCGCCGGGCCTCAGGACCTTCAAACAATCGAGACCTCTGAGGTCCACGTCGAGGGGACTTCAAGGCGACTTCGGGGGGGGAGGTTCGAAATTCTCGGGCCTTCTCGTCGGTCCTCAGAGGTTTCCCAGCCGCGGGGTGCGTTCCAGCGTGCTGCCGCCAGAGAGCCGAGGTGTGACGCGACAGGGGGCCGGCGTTTTCGGAAGGCGGCGGTGCTTCCCAGAAGCCCTCCCACTCTCTGGGAAGCCTTCTGCGGCTTTGGAGGAGGCTTTCTCCGAGTTTTTGGATGAGCGTCGGGGGGGCGTCACCCCCGGCGACAGCCCCACATCGACCCTGTCGCTCAGGGGTGGACGGACCTCCTACCCTGACACGTCGACTAGCGAATTGGCCGTTTTCGGTTCGCGAGAGGGCGTCGCGGCCGTCTTTTTTGCGGGTCCAAATCAGTCGGTTTCGGTCCCAGGCCGTTTCCACTAAGGAGAGGTGTGCTAAGGGGAGGTTTGTCCACCGCCGAGTCGCGGGCAGCCACCGCGCACCGAAGGCGCTCCGACCCCCGTCGCGGCGCGACGACGAGGCGAGGTTGACCCCCGTCGGGGTGGTACCATCCCACGCATACTAAAAGACCCACAGTATAGAAAGCTAGCCATAAGGCCTGAGGCATCTTGAGCTCTCTGAGGAGGCCCGACTCCTCTGCCTTCGGGCAGAGGAGGTGGGCCCAGGTTGAATACCCCTTTGGGCGCGCCGCCGAGAGGAGACCCCTATGCGAGCAGCCCGTCCACGGTGGCCGCGGCACCGTACCCGTCTTACGTGTCCTACCAGCCCCATGTGCAGAGCACGTGGACGGCGCCAGCGCCTGCGCCGCCGGGTCTGCCTTGCCTCGTGCCGATGTGGGGCGAGGATGACTTTGCGTGCAGGGAGTACGAGGATTACAAGAGGTTCGGCTCGTGGAGGGACTCGCTCCATCGCCTGCGTGTCGAGATGCCGGACGGCACGACATGCACCGTGAAGCCGCCCGGGAAGTGGGGTTTCTGGATGGCCGCAGGGACGACCGAGATGATGTGCGAGGCGGGTGCGTGGGTCGATGGCAAAGGCAAGCCGGTCGCCGAGATCGAGATGAAGGCCGCGACGTGGTTCCTCGCGTCCTCGATCGCCGCTGCAGTCCTTGCCGTATACGTGCTCCGCAAGATGTACTACGATCCAGAGCACTGGCTCTACACGTGGCGGTCGGGTGCGGCGGGGAAGGTCCAGGGGTCCCAGACGGGGTCCGAGCAGATGGCGCTGGAGGATCGCGCCGCATCGCTGATGCATCGCCGACGCATCGGCGCTGCGGCTCGATGTGGAGCAAGACCTTCTCCACGCAGAGGGTGACCGACGCATCGCGAGCGTCGCCGACGCATCGACGACGCATCGGCAATGCACCCTGCGGTGCGGCCAGCTCCTCCGACGTCAGCCGCCCGGAGCCCACCTGGGAGGCCTCCATGCAGGGGGGCCTCGTGGCGGCGCACGCCCGGGCTCCCGGGGCCCGCGCCGCGGCTCCCGCCACGGCGGGGGCCATCAGCATCCACATCACGAACGTCGCGAGCACCGCCGCGGGCGAGAGCGGCGAGCGGCAGCCTCAGCCCCAGCCCGTCGAGGAGGGCGGCGCCGGCAAGAGCGCCACGGGCCCGAGCGGGGCCGTGGCCGCGCAAGAGGCGCAGGCGTGGTCTGGTCCGAGCCCAGGACTGCTCTACTGCCTCATGTTCAGTGCCGTGCTCGTTCCCGACCTCGTTGCGACGTTCGTGTACTCGGCCGCGGGGGTGGGAACGGACATATACGAAGTCATCGCGAGCGATCACTGGAGCATGCTGGGCAACTGCGCTGCGATCGCCTCGGCTTGCTGGTGGATGGTGATGTTTGTCTTCGACATGTTCGACAGCGACACCTGGCGTCGTGGGACGATCAGGTCGGCCGTCCGCTTCCTGTGCTTCTCGATCCTCGTGTTGCTGGCATTCGTCGGCTTCACTCTGAAAGCCGTGAAACTCCCGTGGACGCCCCTCCTGCTGTGCATGGCCGTGACAGTGTGCCTCCTCGCCCTGCAGCGCGTCTGGTGCAGCGGGCAGGCTGCGGGCATCCCGCACTTCTACCTGGCGGCGGCAGCCTGCTACACCGTCTGCGCGGTCGCGGTCCTCGCGGTGTGGGTCAGGCGTACGGAGCCCAAGCATATACACCACAGCTACCTCCACGTCCCCCTTCCCTGTCAGGTACGAGGAGGGGAAGAGGAGGGCGGAGGAGGGAGGGGGAAGGGAGGGGGAAGGGAGGGGGAAGGGAGGGGAAGGGAGGGGGAAGGGAGGTGGAAGGGAGGTGGAAGGGAGGTGGTGGTGGTGGTGGTGGTGGTGGTGGTGGTGGTGGTGGTGGTGGTGGTGGTGGTGGTGGTGGTGGTGTGGTGGTGGTGGTGGTGGTGGTGGTGGGTGGTGGTGGTGGTGGTGGTGGTGTGTGGTGGTGGTGGTGGTGGTGGTGGTGGTGGTGGTGGTGGTGGTGGTGGTCGTGGTGGTGGTGGTGGTGGTGGTGGTGGTGGTGGTGGTGGTCGTGGTGGTGGTGGTGGCGGTGGTGGCGGTGGTGGTGATGGTGGTGTTTGGTGGTGGTGGTGGTGGTGGTGGTGGTGGTGGTGGTGGTGGTGGTGGTGGTGGTGGTGGAGGTGGTGGTGGTGGTGGTGTAGATATCCTTGGTTCCCTCAAGGTGGGCAATGTCTGCGGACGAGCCACGGTTCCTCTGGTGGAACGCGGACACCAAGCGATGGCCGCCCAAGAACCAGAAGCTGCACAGCCACAGACGTTCGGAGCTCCCCGCGGGTTTCTCGGATCAGCGCCGCCCCCCCCCCTGGGCGCCGCCTCCAGCGCCGCCCAAATGGCGCGCGCCGTTCGCCGGGGACGGGGCCCAGCGCCGATCCGATAACAAACCGCGCGGAGCGCCAACAGTTTGAGGCATGCTGTTTTCGATTCCTGCAGGTTGGCTAACAAGTATGCTATGGTCTTTCGAGTGTTGACTCCCGTCGAGCTGGCGACGGAAGCGTCGACGCCAGAGTTGCAGGATTATTGCCTCAACAAGACGTCGATCCACAACACCATTGCGAGCACGATTACCCAGGACCTTGTCACCGGCGCCTGCGGGAGGGCATTCACCGTCATCTTCACGCAGTGGGCTGGACCTCTGATGGTATTCGCCTGCAATATGCTCGGTGTGGGCCTGTGCTTGCTCTTCTCGAACACCATGACGGCGATTTCAGCCAGGTCCGAAGATGTACCGGCCCATGACAAGAAGAAGGCGCTCCTCGCTTTCATGAAGCGCTTCCTGCTCACCATCGTCCTCGCCGTGGCAATCATGTACATCTCATTGTACGTGTCCAGCGCCGGTGTGAAGCTGAGCTCCGCAATGCTGGCCTTGGCGTGTACCGCGCTTCTCGTTATGTTCCTGTGGCTGGCCTGGGAGGTGGATGGGAGTACGCTCAACGAGCTGAAGGAGATGCCTCTTATGAAGCATGTCATCAACGTCTTGCAGTCCAACTGGGTGAAGGCGATCGCCGTTGGAGGTATGAACGTCATGATCCCTTTGATCCTGGCTCTCGACAGGGTGCGACAGCAGGTGCGGAAGAGCTGCACCAACTATTACGGAACCGAGAGGTGGACTCGCTGTCCTGAAGAAGAGCGCGCCATCGTGGAGGCCGACCAGCACACCCCAGAAGGTAGGTGGGTGCGCGGGTTCCTTGACACGTGGGACTGGACAGACATCTTCGGCAAGGTCTGCGTGTTGGCAGAAGTGTTCGTTCTGCTTGCGGTCGGATCGAAGGCAACCTTTATCTTCTTCTCCTACCTGAACGGAGAAATCGAGACAGCGGGGCTGGAGATAGGCACCATCTTCGTGATGGTGTGGGCCATCGGGTTGGTCACTTAGCTGCCCTGACACGCTCTTTTTGAAACGCATCACGCACCGTGTTCAAAACGTGCATGTTAACGCGCTGGGTTTTTGCTCGGTACGTGTTGGCCCACGTTGTGTCGGACGCATCGCGCCAGACCTGCGTTTTCAGTCAACGGCCTGAGCTCAGCGCCAACCCGTTACGTGTTGCGTGCTGCGTATCGGGGCGGCTGAGGCTGGCCATGTTCATGAACCCCGTCGTCCCCGGGAGTGCCGTCTACCTCTTCGCAGGCGTCGTGCTGGGAGCCCAGTCGCAGAAGGAGGGCTCAGTCGGCATTTGGGCGGGCCTGGCGCTGGCGTGCGTCGCGGGGAGCTCGGCGAAGCTGATGGCGTGCCTGGGCCAGTATACGCTCGGCTACGTCATGGGCAAGTCTGTGAAGGTGCAGCATTTCGTTGGGGTGACCAAGGTTGGCGTCCTGGCGATGGAGGCGGTCCTCAAGGAGGAGGGCTTCAAGCTGTTCAAGGTGTGCATCCTGGTGGCGGGCCCTGACTTCCCAACGAGTGTGCTCTGTGGCATACTCCAGCTGAACATCCCCCAGATGATTCTTGGCACATTGCCGGTAGTATTTGTGAGCATCATCCCGCAGACCCTCGTTGGGGTACTTTTAACCAAAGAGGGCGCCACCGAAGGGGTGTGGAGCATGATCGCCACTGTAGCCACTGGGCTTGCTGCTGTTTTCCAGGCAGGCGCCACTCTCGTCTTCGCGTACGGCATAATGCAGCGAGTCGAGGAGTCGGGGGACGAGCTCCTGAAAGTGCATCGGCCAGAGCACGACGAGGTACGGAAGCTCGCAGAGAAGGATGCTGAGTACGTGAAGAAGTATGGCGAGTCGTCTGCCTGGGGGCAGCTAGGCACGGGTGCGCGCGCGACGCTTCTGGGGACCGTTGCGCTCTTCTTGCTCTCCGGCCTCCTCATTGCCCTCGACACCCTGGCGACCGAGAAGGCGTGCTTCCGAGACTTCTACATCACGGACAAGATCGAGAGCCCCTACGACGAGGGGGGCCTGAACGGGAAGGTGCTCAGCGTGGTCCTCGCGCCGAGGGGCTGGATCGCCCTCGGCCTCGCGGCGGCCGCGGCCGTGCTCCACGTGGGCTTCGGGCGGTGGCTGGCCGCCACGGCGCGCGCCGCCCTGGAAGCGCCGGGCCCCGCCGCGGCGCCGGGCGAGGCCGCGGGGGCGGCGGGCTCGCCCGACGGCGGCGCCGCGCCGGCGGCAGCGGCCTGAGCTCGGCGCCTTCCCCTCGGGGCGTGCGCCAGTGAGGGCGATGCCTCGGTGACCTGCAGGCTCGCTCGATGCGGCGGCGCGCCCCCCGGGGGGAGAGCAGGAGTGGGAGGAGGAGGAGTGGGAGGAGGAGGAGGAGGAGGAGGAGGAGGAGGAGGAGGAGGAGCAGCAGGAGCAGGAGTGGGATGAGGAGGAGGAGGAGGAGGAGGAGGAGGAGGAGGAGGAGGACTTGTGAAAACCCAAGAATCATCGACGATGTTGGAACTAACCCTATCTCCAAGCTCCCTCTTCATAGGCCCCTCAACGGTTTATTTCCATTGAGGGAATTGCCTCGTCGTTGGAAGACAACCGTCTCGGGATTTCATTGCCACTGATCAACCTGACTGCTGCGACTTGACGATCCAGAATCGTGTCAGAACGCAATTTTTGGGACTTCAACATCGCGAATCAGCATAAGTGCTGCACCCGCAAAATCCTGAATCTGTCCAAAACACCATTTCTGGTACGTTGATCATTGGAAGCAGTGAAACTTTTTGTGAAATTTGTTTAAGCGAATGCGCGCGGCGCTAAGGCGAGAGCTAATTTGTGGAAAGGAGCCCCCCTCAATCCGTGAAGTTTTTGCATGTTTCCCTACCTAGGCTCTGCCTAGAAGGGTTCTTACCCTGTATGCTTAAAGGGCCGGACAGTGCTCCCCGCCCCGGGCGGTTCCCCCAGGATCCGCCCCGCGGTTCCCCCAGTTACGTCCCCTTAGCTTAGCGTTGCTTATATCATCTTAGCTTAGCTTGTTTCATCCTAGCTTAGCTTAGCTTCATCTTAGCTCAGGTGTACCTTAGCTTAGCTTACCTTCATCTTAGCTTCGCTGAGCTTTACCATCGCAGAGCACAGCATAGCATAGCTTAGCGTAGCATAGCATAACGCAGCATAGCATTAGCATGGGTGTAATTCCCTACCTAGGCTCTGCCTAGAGGGTTAGCTTAGCTTAGCCTAGCCTAGCTTAGCTTAGCATAGCGCAGCGCTGCATTAGCATAGCATAGCATAGCATAACATAGCCAATCATAGCATAGGATATCATACCATAGCGCAGCATAGCACAGCATAGCATAGCATAGCGCCGCTTATCATAGCATAGCATAGCATATCATATCATATTTTGGCATAGCACAGCGCAGCATGGCATTGCATAGCTTAGCATAGCATAGCATATCATATTATAGTATAGCGCAGCATAGCATAGCATAGCATAGCATAGCTCAGCATAGCATGGCATGCTTTCCTAGGGGCTCCAACTTCTAGGTAGGGTCGCACTGGGGCGAGAGCCACATGTTGAAAAGGAACCGCCCTCAATCCGTGAAGCTCTTGCAAATGCTTAAAACGAATGTGCGCGGCGCTAAGGCGAGAGCCATATTTCGAAAGCGACCCGCCCTCAATCCGTGAAACTCTTGCGAACTGCTGAAACGAATGTGCACACCCGCCTTCGATCCGCGAAACTCTGGCACACGTTTGTAAACGAATGGGCGCGGCGCCAAGGCGAGAGCCACATTTTTTGAGCCACCTGTGAAACAGTTGCCACTTTTTAAGCTTCAGAGTCCTAATTGGTGAGGACGTCTCAGGCGGAGCGCCCGGCCCGCCCAAAAGACTGTCCTCGGGGTGCGACAGGGAAGGGTTATTGACCAGGAAAAAGAATGGAGGAGGAGGAGGAGGAGGAGGAGGAGGAGGAGGAGGAGGATAAGGAGGAGGAGGACTGTATCGTCTTCGTCGCCGCCGCCGTCGTCGTCGTCGTCGTCGCCGCCGCCGCCGTCGTCGCAGTCGTCACTGCCGCTGTCGTCGTCGGCGGCGGCGTCGTCGACGTCGTCGGCGCCCGCGCCGTCGTCGTAGTCGTCACTGCCGCCGTCGTTGTCGTCGCCGCCGTCGTCGCTGGCGCCGCCGTCGTCGTCGTCGTCGTCGTCGTCGTCGTCGTTGTTGTCGTCGTCGTCGTCGGCGTCGTCAACGTCGGCGTCGTCGTCGTCGATCCGCTGCGGTCGGGCTGCGACGCGAGTCCTGCGAGGCGGGCTGGCGCACGGGCGGGGGAGAGGCGGGCCGGAGGAGCCGAAGGGAGAGTGTCGCGGGCGGGCGGGGAGCCCTCGGAGCGCAAAGCACTTCAGCACGGGCAGGTGGAGGGTTTCTCCGAAGGGGTTAGGGGACCCCTCCTCCTCCTCCTCCTCCTCCTCCTCCTCCTCCTCCTCCTCCTCCTCCTCCTCCTCCTCCTCCTCCTCCTCCTCCTGCTCCTCCCCCTCCTGCTCTTCCTGCTCCTCCCCCTCCTGCTCCTCCTCCTCCTCCTCCCTCCTCCTCCTCCTCCTCCTCCTCCTCGCCCTCCCCTCCTCGGGTTGCCTACGGTCTTGGGGGAAACCGTCCACGGGCAGGGCATGATCGGTGCGGCTTCTCGATGGCCAGTGGCCTCCCACGTGATTCTTGCGAGCCCTCTAGCCATCGAGAGCCCCAAGCCCCCCCAACAAGAATGCAGCACGACCTCGACCATTTCTCGATCTTCTGGCCTCGAAGCGTGTGAGGGGTGGTCTGAAACAGGGACAGGCGGAGGGCAAGGATGAGAGGAGGGACGGGGGGGCGAGGAGGAAGGTGACGCGGGGCGCTGCCTCTTCGAAACGAAGACCCAACACCACCGGATGGTCGGGAACAAACGCAGCACGGCCTCTACGATCCTCGATCTCCCGACCCCGAGCTCCGATCCTCGAACCGTTGGCCCCCACTCCGCGGCCAGGGCGGACATCTCCGGAGTGGCGCTGGCGCTCATCGGGGCGCTGGACGGCGACTGGGGCGGAGCCGCTGGCAGGCGGGGGCGAGGCGCCAGCGAGGAGTGCCCCAATCCTCGGCCACACGCAGAGGGGGGGAGCCATGGGGGAGGGGGAAGGCTCCTTCGAAGTGCCCCTCCTCCTCTTGAGGCGCGGGCCTCGTCTGCAGATGTGCATAGGGCCGGTGCCTTTTCGCAGTAGAGCGGCCTGCTTCTTCTTCTTCTCATTCTTCTTCTTCTTCTTGGAAAAGCCTTCCCCCCTCCTTCCCCAAGACCCCCTCGTGCGCGCCGCCGGCATCCCGCTCCTCCCGGTCCCGCCTCAAAGTTCATAGGGGGATGCTCGGGTGCGGGGCGGCAGCAAGTAAAGGTAGGCGTGCAGCGGTTCCGCGCGGGCCAGGGCGGGCGTGCGCCAGCCAGCGCGCTGCCGGGGTAGCGCTCCCCCGCAGCGATGCCGTGATCCCCCCCCCGCGCAGCGCTGCCGGCGTGCGCCGCCGTGGAGTGCCCGACGGTCCACCCCGCCCGGGAGCGTGCGAAGTCGCTATCTCGGAGGGGACCTCTCGAGACAGTGGGGGGGAGGGGGGTCGTGAAGGAACGTGTTCGGGAGGCTGCCTGTGTCAAGCCGTGGCGGAGCGTCCTGGCTCGCCTATAGGCCCACTGCCCCCTATGGAGTCCTTCCGCCCCGCCCTCCCGCCCGGGAGGGGTGGGGGCGGAGGGTCCAGGTGCGAGGTGGTCTCTCGTCCATGTGGGGCCGCCGTCATCCAATCCAGTCGGTTGAGCGCGCGGGTTGAACGGGCCGCGCGTTCGGTGGCGCGCGGAGGCCAGCCTGAGTGCCAGGGGCTGCTGGAGGGCCCTCCGGGCCTGCCCGGGGTGGCTGTGGAGGTTCTCCTGTCTGGCTCTCGCGGCCCGCGCGTGGGCGCACTGCGCCCGGAGGCGCTTGGCCCGAGGGATGAGTTCACGGATGAGTTTACAGCAAGAGCTCCTATATATATATATATATATATATATACATATATATATATATATATATATGTGGGTGTGTGTATCTTTTGGTCGCGATAGTCCCAGAGCGCTAGTGTCGGGCTGAACGAGAGCGGGAGACAGGGAAGGGGGGGGGTACGAAATCTGCTGCATGCAGCTGGTTTCGGCCCCACCGCCAGGCCCGTTCCTCGATAAATGGGCGCCTCCCGGCGCCTGGAGGCGCAAGGATACTCCGCTCCGTGAGCTGATTCTCACCCCCCCCCTTTCCTATCCCCCCCTTTTGCCGCGCCCGATAGTGGCGCAGAGCATGAGGGGTGCTGCAGCCTGATGGGCGGGTTTGGCAACAAAAAAACCCTCGAGCAAACAGGCTCCCCTCCTGCTTCCCTCGTGGGCCTCCCTTCCGCTGCTGCTCCTCCTGCTGTTGGCACTTCTTCCCTTCCCTCCGTGCCATGCTTCTCCCGCCCGACTTCCTCGCACCTCCTCGTCCTCGCTCGACCTCCTTCCCTGCTGCTGCTCTCTGGCGGTGTCCTGGGATATGATATCCGAAGGACGCCAGAGGCTTGGATGTTCTCTTTTTTTTTTTTCTCTCTCTCTCTCTCTCTCTCTCTCTCTTCATATATATATACACATATCTCAGGAGGGGAGCACACACACATACAGACACACATACAGACACATGAATCGCCCACTCCCAGGAAAAGATGGGAACATATGGGAAGTGGGGGGGGGAGACAAAAAAATAACATATAGGAAAATATGGGGAATCCTTTAATTTGTGTGTGTATTTGTTTGTGTGTCCCAGGGCCCCTTCAGTATCGCGCAGCTCATGGCGCCACTTGGCGGAATCTGCAGCCGAACCTTCGGCGCAGCCTGCGGCCCCACGGGCAGCGCAGCCGGAACCATCGCGCCCCGCCTCGTGCCGCAGGCAGCGCCACGACTCGACCCTTGGCGCAGCATGCCGGGGCCTCCCGGGTGGGGTCCGCGCAGAGGGGGTCGGAGGGTCGCGCCGCATCGCCGATGCATCGGCGACACGGTTCGATGTGGAGCGCGATCCTTCCGAGGCGGGAATTTATACATGACCACCGCCTGGAGGATCGATTGTCGGGGATCTCGGCAGGCGGTGGATGTGGACGTGTTCGGGCCCCCGGGGGCCAACATGCATCCATGTCCACCCCCCGCTGGGGCACCAAGACGTCGGTTCCTAGGCGGTGGGTGTGGGTAAATGCCCGCCTCGCAGTCTTCTCTGCGCCTGCAGCGCCGATGCATCGCCGACGTCGCCGGTGCATCGCCGATGCAGCGGCGATGCAGCGGCGATGCGGTGCGATCCTCCGACGGCCTCTGCTTCGACCCCACTGGGGAGGCCTCCGCCCGTCGGTCGGGGGAAGTATGTATTTTTGTCGGGAATCCCAGATCCCAATCTGCTCTCGGCTTGAGTCAGGCCTGTCCCTCTACAGGAGGAATATCCCCGAACAGTCAAGACATAATCAGGGGACGATGTTTTGTTGTTATCTATTCGGGGTGTGTTGGGGCATTGTGTGACTTTCCTTGATTTCATCGTCAAAATGTGCCTGTAGGAGGACACGCCCGACCTAACCTTCGGCGCCTTCCTGCTTCAAGGATCGAGCGGATTCCTTCTCCCTCTCCCCTTCAGGGGGCGAGCGGAAGCCCAGTCTGCTTCCAACGCCTTCCTGTGTCGTTGCTCTGCCTACTTCTTCCGACCGACGGGTGAGCGGGAGGTGTACTTATGTTGTGGAAGTCGACTAGTGGAGAGGAAGCATGTGGCCAAACAGTTTTAGATGTCTAACACATCTGTCAACATCAACAATGTCGCTACATATGTTAAACCATGTTTGAAACATGTTCACAACATGCTTCAACCAGTGCACAACATGTTGAAACATGTTTGAAACATGTTCACAACATTTTCACAACATGTTCAATGAGAGGATTGTTCGAGTGTCCATGGTCATGGCATCCCACAATGCTTCTGGTGACGTCGGGCACGTGTCCCTCTACAGGAAGAGCGCGTCGGCCGCCCGTGCTCCGGGCGCGGCCTCTGGCCAGCGGCTTGGCCAGAGGGAGCGGCGACGCGCCTCTCCACGTTCTTGGTGCGGGGGGGTTCTCGGGGGCGGCACGCTCGGCTGCCGCGGGGGGGGGGCAAAGAAGGGGGCATCGGGGGCGGCAAGGAAGGGGGGTGACGACTAGGGGGGGGGTGGATATCATGGCGTGGGCCAGGATAGTTCCCCAGATTTCATGGCGCCTCGTCTCTCATTTCCTTGCGTCCCTGGCCCCCCCTTTGGCCGCGCACGTGCCGCGGGCCATTGTGTGCGCCCCCCCTCTTGGACGCCCCCCCCCCCCCTTGGCCGCCCCCAAGGGGAGGGGTGAGGAGGAATCAAGACGGGGGCAGGAGGGACAGAGTCAGGCGATCGCAAACAGAGATCAACGCGGCGTGCATGAGCACGACGGGTCCTGTTTCCATGGCTGGGGAATCCCGGATTTCCGCCGCCGAGCGAGGCGGCCCTGGCCGCATTTTGGGGAGGGCACCTCCCCCGATCCGTGGATGTGGCGGCCGCGCGCCAGATCCCTGGATCGCTAATCTCGGGCCGGGCGAAAGGGGGGGATTGGGAAAGGGGGGGTTACGAAATTTGCTGCATGCAGCTGGTTTCGGCCTCACCGAGGGGCCCATTCCTCGATGCATAGCCGCCTCGGGCGCCGGGAGGCGCCACCTTTGCTATCCCCCCCTTTCGCCCGACCCGATAATCCATGTTTACGCGCCCCCCGGCGGAGGAGGAAGACGGAGGCCGTCCGGGCTACGGTAGGCTCGCGTGGCCACGACGGGCGGACGGTCGTCCCAGGGACGGTTTTTAGATTGCCAGCGCAAGCTGCATGGGGTGAGCGTGGGGGCGCCCCCGGGGCAGGAGGGATGGATGGCAGATGGAGGAACAACAAAAATGCCACCCTGGCTCAGGGAAGTGATGGGTCAAACTGTGCGCGCGCGCTCACCCAGTGGAGTCTGGCAACGAAACCGATGGGGGGCAGAAGGTCTCGGGATGGGGGACAAAAGGCCCAGGCATTGAGCGAGGCGCCTTGAGCCCAGAGGTGTCGAATTGAGCTATTTCTTATTTGATCCAAGCGCTTCAAAGAATGACCAGGACGACGGCAAAGTTCGATAGATACATGGTCAACGTTTACAGCATATTCGAAGGCGTTGACCAACAATCGGCGGCGTGCCCAGTGGGGGAGAGAGAAGTGGCGGGCCCTCTCAGAAGGGTTGGAAGTCCTCGGGCCTTCTGAGAAGCTTTCCTGGCCTCCTTCGAAGACATAATAGACCTCTCGGAAGGCCGGAGTGTTTCTGAGAGGTCCCGCCGCCTTTGGGAAGCATCGTCCCTCTCACTTCCCCACCCCTTCGCTCGCCGCCGAACAACATATTCGAAAACGTTGACCACGAAGCTGATCGCGCATGTCGGGACGCTACGGAGCTGTTCTTTGGGCGGGCGCGGTCCCCGTCTGCTGCTTCCGCCTTCCTACTTCATGCTTCCACCTTGTAGCTTCCTCGATACGCCTGTTTCGAAACGCAACACGCACCGTGTTCAACACGTCCGTGCCAACACGCTGCGTGTTGGCTCGGCTCTGGTTGGCCCCACGTTTTGGCGAACTTTTCGCGCCAGACCCACGTTGTCAGTCTGCGTGCTGAGTTCCGTGTCAACGCGCTACATGTTGCGTGTTGCGTATCGGGGCAGCCACGTTCCACCTATTTTCGATTGGCGGGTATAATGTACAGTGGAGGCCCATACCAAGAAAAAACCTGTTTGCCTCAGGGGTGCCCTGGGTTTCTTGGGTTTCGATGGTTTTGCGGCGGGGAGCGTGACGCTCCCACACCAAGCATCCATCGACGCCCTTGGGTCTCAGGCTTGGGTTTCTTGTGGAAGGTGTCTTGTGGTCGGGCCCCTACTGTATTTGGGCAGCCAAGTTCCACCCCACTTCCGAGGACGAGGACGAGGAGGACGAGGAGGAAGAGGAGGAGGAGAAGAACGAGGAGGAAGAGGAGGATGAGGAGGAGGAGGAGAAGGAGGAC